AAGTCCGATTTTGTGTCAAAATACATATGTTAGAACAATGCTGTATATAAATCTAATATATCATATAAGTCGCACATTCGAGACATGGAAAACTCATTTTGAATTTTGTCAATTAGCCCAGTAGAACGGAAGATATAGAACTGTCGCTTTTTGGGGGGGCAGTGTATCTTGTAATCTCTACGATGTCTATCTCATTTTAATCGGATATATTAAAATTTTGGTCTGATGTATATATATACTAGACGTAATTGTATAGAAGTAATAGTGTTCAAAAATGTTCATAAATTAATAAATGTTAAATTCTAAATTTTGCATTAGACCCATGGTGTACTTCTTTGTCGAAGCTTTTTTCTTTTTCTTTCTTTTTTTTCAGCCCTTTTCACATATTTCTTGGGTCTTGCGGTTCAGAAGCTTTGAAAATTTGAATCCTAAATCGATTGCGGTGTATTGGCCGAAACCGCTACGCAAACTCTGGGTTGTGATACAGGGTTGAAATGAAATTCAAGGTTAAAATGAAATTCAAGGTTGAAATGAAATTCAAGGTTAGTTTTAACAATAACATGAATTTTAATAAGATGAAAACCTTAACCTTGACCTTAACCTTGCATACTTTGGCAGTATGGGACTTGGGTATATTTAGTCCCGTAATCTCAGAATTTTGTTACATGAAAAATGCTCTCACACATTATACACGAGGAATGATCGTTCTTAGCAGGCCAACATGCCCATAGCTCTAAACAGGAAAGTCGTTTTTTCTCTTCTCAGGAAACCACGCTATATACCTTGTTTACTTACGCTGAACTCCCGGGGAGGGGAAATTCTTTCACTAATACATAACAAAGTGTCCATCTCCTAACTGTGGTGAAAAGACTTATCTCTTTGTCCACCGGAGTGACCTTCCAGGCTGCAACCGGAATCATTAACAAAGGTATAGGATTTCGCCTCCGATATGAAAACTATTGCACTCTGAAATCACTCATCTTAGACAATGAACCTTTATGCCACCTTATCACACAATTTACATTGAGAGAAACGTTATGTTAAGGATTTAATAATACAAACCTTTCTGAAGGATTTCATGAAAGGTTTTATTGGGACTATAACCTTGATCAAAGCTACTGCGTTTCGAGTAAAACAATTAAGTTGTGAAACTAGTAGAACGCAACGAAAAATTACTACTTTTTTAACTGTTCAACTACTGTTTGGCTAAGTACGGAGTAAAATGCAGTGCAGTTTCTTCAGTAGTGCGTAACCAAGCAAATTACGTAAAACAAACGTGTATAGAGTCTCAACTTTTTGAGCAGCATGCGCTGTCCAGACTGAAGAACAAAGTGAATAATCGCTATGTCTTGTTAATGAAACAGAGAACGTAAGAAAGGTATAAAAGACTCTTTTATTAAGAACTCAGTTAGTTAATAATAGACAATACTTGTGCTTACAAAATTACCTAGCATTTATGGCGTAACTCAAAAATAAGATATTCATATTAAAACAAGGTTAAGTCTTCAGTTAGCTAAAGGCTCCACAAAAATCATTAATGCGCAAGGCGCAAGTTGTCTCAGACCTAATTCGGCGAGACAAGCACTATTGACAAAAATAAAGCAACGCCAAAAAGAGAATCGTAGAATTTCAGCTATAACGTGATCTTCAGCAGGCAGAACATGCTCTTATTTAAGCAGTCTACAATCTTCTTTTAAATACTATCTCTTTCTACCTCACTTGAATACATGCGAACTGAAATAAGCATTCTGCCAGGAAAACGGAAAGGGAGAATGAGAGTAAAGAAACTTAACATAAATAACTTAAATGAGGCAGAAACAGTCCTCGTAAGTAATAAAAAATACCTCATGAGGAAAGATTTCATTTATGATGTTCTTACATTCCAAACACGCATATTAATTACAGACATGCATGTACTAAATTCATGAATAAATATAGCAGGTTAACGCACAAATGTAAAAGATTCCGAAAACATGTCTATTTGCAGTAATTTTAGCTTCGCAAGTTAATGTCTCGAATATGAATAAACGTTTTCCTGTTTGCAGAAATGCATACTGATTATTATGTAAAACATAGAGGTTACATTAACTGTTACTTTACTGGATATTCAGGAACTGCTTAAACATTATTTAATGTCGTACCATTCATTAAGTTGTAACATTAGCTTAAGTATCTACTCGATTTAATTAAAGAAAACTGTTGAGAGCTGTTGCATAATGCTTGTGACGCCAACATTGTGCTCTCTTTATTCATGCTTTAAATGCAACTATTAATCATATTAAAATATGTCTAGTAAAAATAGAAATAAAACACAAAAATTCAACATTTTGCTGTGTTTAAAAATATAAAATAAGAGGATTGCTTGAAATATTAGTTTGCTTTTTGTGTATTCTACAAATAATTTCTCTGCGAGCAGTGTTTTTGTGTGAGCGAACGGTATCGTGCTTCTCTTCCCTCAATCGTATGAGAGATTTTCTATGTGAGAGTTTTGTTGGCGTGTATAAGCTTTCTGTATGGAATTTTCTAGCGAGCATTCACTACTGTGATGTTTCTTTGATGGTCTTTCGTCTGGAGGAATTTTTACTTGGTACATTTTCTTTAGCTTACTTTATGAAAAGAACTGTAGGTAAAAGTCGAAACTGAGTTCTCTCTGTTGCATGATTTAGAGAACTTTGTTATTTTGCGATGTATATGATTTACATTTGCATAGTGACACTATATTTATAAGCATTTCTATGTAACATAATAGCAACATTTTCAAAGATAATGTAAAATTTAAATACATACGGCACAAGCCAGGAGTTCTCCATCCTTCGCTCATGTCTATACCACCTCTAGCACATTCCAGAAGATATTCTGCAATTGAGGCGCATTCGCAATCTTCTTTTGCCATTTCATTGCAACAGTCCAAAGTGCACATAATGTAATATTTATTAGGATCTAAAAGCTGTTAAACAAAGAATGTGTATAAATTGTAGGTTTTAAATACTTATGGTGAATTATTTTTATTGCAGTCAAAATATCAATTTTATGTATTTTAACATATAAATTAAAAATTGAAATTCTCTGAATTGAATTAATTCAATTGCATATTTTCTTGAAATAATATGTTTAAGAAAGCATTTCTAGAATACACTTCTCGCTTAGACAATAAGTTGGTTCAGAGGACGCTGACAGCACATATCAAATAATCTGTGATGTCAGTCCTAGACAATATATGAGAGTTTATAACTTTTGTGTCTATGTGGAACTTAGAAGTTTATTTAATTATTTTATTAATCTATTAAGTATGCGCACACTTTTGATAATTATTGGTACAATAGTATTCTGAAGATATTGGCAGCATGGAAAAAACAGTATGAGAGTATCGGAACTCATCTCGGGTTGTGCTCTTAACTAATATATTTAGTCATAAACATTTAACGTTCTCCACAATTAATAAAAAAGAATTCATGCGGAAAAAAATCCATGTTTTTTACAGTGATCAAACTATCAATACGGATGTAAGAATAAAAATCAAAGCATAATACAATTGCATAAAGAAAATAATCAAAAACCCTTTGCTTATAATTCTGATTTAATTCTGTATTTTTAACAACTGCTAATACGTGCAGTTTTATTTTGGTAAAATTATAGATTTGTATTTTACCTATAAATTATTATTAATTATTTATGAACTATTTCAAAAATGCAATAAAAATGCATCACACCTAAAAGATATGAAAATGTAATATAAATTCTAAGTAGCATTACATTGAAATACAAATATTTACGATCTAATGCCGAAATAGTTTTTTTAGCTATAAATATTTTTTATAATTTCTAAATTCAGTCTAAGATTGTTTCATTTGAATATGACACCTTTATGATATTGTACGCATAAGGTTGAAGTACTCTTGGCGACACCCTTATCACATAGTATTTAGTGCCATATAAATTACAAATGAATTAAATTGTGCATTAAAACCTGATATTAGCCATCAGGCTTAAACATACTATTTAATTTATGATTAAAAAGAGATATTCATGATTAAATACGCGATCTAGGCAGAAATATATAAATATCAAGTTTTCCTAAAGCTTAGTCTAAATATTAAACATTCCTTAGGTCACTCTGAAAGTTTTGAAAATTCGATACTTGAGACATCTAGTACGAAAAAGTACAGTGCGTTTCATACAGAGGAAACATTTGCTAGTATAATGTAAAAAGAAAGACTTATCATTAAGTGCAAATTGGTATTAAGATCCTTTTAATTTTTGCTGATACTTAACTTTAATTTTGAAAAACTTTCTTAACATTATGTTTTTATGACTTCTAATTTAGATTAAATGATGTGAGTACCTAAAACATTTGTGTGATGGTTTTGAGTTGCTTCTGAAATCACAACTTAAAAATGGCTTAAAGGAATTCAGGAAAGAGGATTTTTTACAGAATTCTTTGCAGAGATAGCTGTGGTCATTTGCATATAAAATAGCTGCGGTAATTTCCACATGATAGCTGTGGGAAAAGGATAATCATATGACTAATGTATGGAGTGTTTAGATTCTAAACTATCTATTAGAACAGCAGCCGTTAGAATTAGGTTTCATGAAAAATTTGGTGTCAAGAAGCTTTATAGGTTTTGAACGTCTCATCGTTTCACAGCCCAACGGAAAGAGACTGGAGTATACTGGTGAATAAGGTAGGTGATAGGTGACGGGGGGAACGGGCACTGTCTCTTTACCATTAGGTTAATCGGTTTAGCACCTTGCCCAACCCCATCTAGAGCCATAAGGAATGCTTGAAATGGTGACCGCCAAAAATATCGCGGAAGAAGGAAGGGGGAGGAATAAAGAAGAAAAAACCGCAAGGAGAAAACGGTGCTGTATAAAAACCGTTGGTAAGAGAAAAGAAAGCAAGGACAAAATCATTACAGTTCTAAAACATCGTTGTCGAAAACAAAGCTGAAAGAAGTTTTAAAACATCATTGTAAAAAATATAGTGGTAAAAAAAGCACCTACAAATAATCGCATGAAAAATTAGAAAAGAAAAGATGAGTAACTGAATGATGTTACCTGTATTAAAATTATTTAACTAAATGTAATAGAACAAGATTTAATTTTTACTAAAATATATCAGATTGACAAAGTGGAAGAAAATAATTTTACAATTTTATAATTAATTAAAGAATTATAATATAGACAATTTCATAAAATGATTACTCATCGTCCCTTTTCTAATTCTTTCAGACTATATTTATCATAAAAACTGTCCATACAATTTCACAAAGCGAATTATTAAGTAATGAATTTAATAGATAAATACGTAAATTTTAAATTCTATTAATTGCTGTACGTACGCCTACTTTTCTATTCATTTTCAGGATTTGAATGTTTAAGTTTCCTTCTTGTCTTTTAGTGAAAAAATATTTATTACTCCAAAAATATGAAATACAGATGTAAAAGTATTCCTCATTCCCTCTTACGCTCAAATTTATTATGTGAACTTACATTTACAACTTTTAATACCTCAAAAACCTATATCTGCGATATTATCGTCATGCGATGATTTGTAGGCGCTTTATTTTCTACTAAGATGTTTTTGCACGATGATGTTTTTGAATTGCTTTATTTTCGACACCGTTGTTTTCAACCACGATATTTTAGAACTGCGATGTTTCCTGATTGTTATTGTTTTCTTTTATCGGACGATGTTTTCGTCTTGCGTTGTTTACTTCGCGGCGTTTCAGTCTGCGAAGATTTCGTCGCGATTTTTTCACCTTTAATATTCCAAAGATCTGATTAAAGACTCTCAAATGCATTTTCCGTCTTAAAATGTGGTGAATCTTGGTTCTATCAATATGAACCGAAATCATGTTAAGAGGTATTCTCTACTATAGATTTTTTCTTAGTAACGTTCTTGCTACCAATTTCAAGGCAAAGGGAATCGTTGAAGAAAAAAAAAAAACTGTGTGTTCTTTCTTTTGTGTAAGTATTAATGCTGTGGCGCTAAGTGATAAAAAATAAAGTCTTTTGAATGGTAAGAGTATCAGAATTAGGTTGGGTAATGTTCCCCAAAAATATACATTTGACTTGGAAAAAATTGGATTGAGAAGAATTCTATTCTGTCATGACATTGCAATAAATTTATCGCTAAGAGAAAATAAATAATCCACTTTCGAGGGTATTCGGAAATTCAAGTTCTCGTTCATTCTCTTTACAGTCCAGATTGTGGACGAAAAAAATAAATCTTTTTCTTATTTCTAAAAGGCAATGACAATATCTATGACCAAAGTTTGGACTTTTTTCGAGAAGACTGTACTAATGATACATCTGCAGATAATATCTCAAAGGAGGAAAAGCATTTGTACAAGGGAATGTATTTCAAGGAAAGGAAGAATTTTTTAACTAATTACCTAATAAAATAGCAAGTAATTAGTCAAATTATTCTTCCTTTAGAAATTTCCTGTGTAGCATTTTTAACGTATGCATATTTGCTTGCTTTATACTTATATTTTTTTTTTCTATATGAAAATATTTTGTTGACTTCTTTAGTTTAATCCTTAAATTCAATCTTTTGCTAACCTTTAGCAAATATCTTAAATTAATTCCTTGTAATAGTGTGCATTTTCTAGGACTTTATAACAAAATCGTAAATATATGTTTTTACGTAAGTAATAAATCTTGACGTCTTATGTTCTTTGTGTTAAATAACTATATCGCATTCAATTCGCACAACAGTTATGTTTCTAATTAGCTTGAAGCTCCGTCGCTTAATAAAATGATGCCAGTTCTACGTTTAATTCTAATGATGTCAGTTCTGTGTTTAATTCTAATGATATCAGTTTTATAATCGGTAACTTTTGGGGGAAATATGCAAAATCTGTGTTGTTAAAAGTAATTTTTGATCATTTCAGCATTCATATTTTTTATTGTTATTAATAGTACTGGAAACAATAATACTTTCATCAACCGAAAGAAATAGCGATTGCTTACCTCTGCGCAAGCGTCAAATCGCAAATTATAAATAGCCGCACAAGCCAAACTTGATTTGTCTGTCGCTATTCTTCTGTCTCTAGTATCGTCGTTGCAAGGCGATTTCGGTTCTACATCATCCATGCAGCCTGAAAAGAAAAATATTCTGAATGAAACAAATGAATATATAAGACTAATGTGAAGAAAAATTATTGCACATTATTTTCAAAGAAAAGGATATAAATAACGTGCGCTAGTTACAAATTAAGTAAATAATATTTTCATTTCAAACACTTGAATGCAACGTCAGTTTCATAATATTTAAATGTTTACATCATCTGAAGTATTTCATACTTTCGAAATATAAATGAAAATTGGGCGATGCGTTCCGAAACTTATTCAAACAAGCTATTGACTTTACTCAGCAAATTTACTCCGATTGCAGAAACGGCTTCGTAGCTCTTTTACAGTTCTCTGACAGCTTTTGTTGAAAGAGTGCTTGGAATGGAAATCTATTTGTCTACGAACTGGTTCATTTCACTGAGCAAACAAAAGCCTGATTCACGAAAAAAGAGCGAAGGTTTTGTTAAAAGCGTGCAAGAGACGACGGAGACTTTATACATCAGCGAATTGTGACAAAGCAAATTCTTTAGGATCATTACTGATATTCATGACGACTAAAGGAGACATGTTTAATTCCTGAAAATGTTCTTCAGAGAACAGAAAAAGAAATTCGTATTGATTGCATCGATCAATAACGGATTACGGATGCCTGATAAATGGAAAGTCTCGAATGTCCTGATAAAAGAAACCATAAATTTAGTTTCCTTTTCTTCGGCTATGAGGTTGCTCGTTCACATGAGAAATGCGATATTCCGCTAATTATGCCATATTGACGGTTCTAAGTTACTTTTGTTTGTCAAGAACATGTCTCCAGAGGCTGTTAAAACTTACTACGAAGTTTCTGGTATGTGACTAAATCAGGGAGTGACAATCTATCTCCTGAGAAAATTTAAGCTGGACGTTTTGTGCTCTTCAATTACCACTTGTTCCTTCACTTAAACATTTGTTTAGCATAAAAGCATCGATATAGGTTTCACTAGATGAACTGAAATAAACAGTCGTTTCAAATGTTCGGCCAGTGAAAAGGAAAAATAGAGAAACTGCTTTTGAAACTTAATGAAGGTTTGCATAATAATGATACTTTCGTCGAAAACGAGTGCTTTCCAATATTAAATTTTGATGGAAGCTTGGACAAATAATTTTTTGGTTGCTTGAATAATATCCCTTGCATTATTAATTTATGGACATGCCGCGTATATAAAGACTTCAGGAGGACAGATTAGCTATTACTGACAGCGTCCTGTGATACTGAAGATTTTAAAAATATTGCAGAAATTAAAGAACAATTTCAGCGCAGTGCAGTAAATGATTATGAAGTATAAAATACTCGGTTTTCTTACATGAAAGAAAATTATAAATCTTATAAATTTAAATTAGAACTAGATTTCTTCGTTAATATATCATAGTCATATATGCTTCGAAATTTAAAGCTAGATTTATTACATATTTTTTCCCTTCTTTCCGCATGCCTTCGTGGTGGAGTTGGAAGCATACTCGAAGCGTAATTCAAGAAGTCCAGGATTCGAGTCCCGGCGAGGACACTATATATTTTTTCACGTCTCCTTCTTCAAAATAACCTAATTGACTTTATAGATCTTCATATTGAGATTTAGCATCTAATAGTATTTAAGGTGAATTTGTAAGGATCTTAAGTTTTACTAATGTTTATTTTATATAAAAATTTTACTATCACTTCTTATTTTCCACTTCCGACCAGAATTAAGTGTGTTAACTTATTTATACAAATTGTACTTGCTAACGCCCAAGTATATAAGTTGTGGCTTTTTACCATGAGTTAGGTAGAAAGTGAGAGAGAGGCAAGAGTTAGACTTGCCACTGCATTACACGCGAATTTTCAATTAGCTGCTGTTCGCCTTTAAGGCCAGAGGTTTAGTCCTCTTGATATTTAAAACGTATTGTAGTTTCGGCAGTTTGCGTACTACATACGTAATCTTTTAAAAGGCCAGTCTTAGTGTTAGGTATTTGTGCATACTAAACGTAATATGAAACGTTTATAGTGTCATGATGAAAAATTAGCTAATATTGAAAGTAAAGTGTTTGTAACAAGATGAGTTTTATATTATTTTTGTACAGCAGGTTGGCAACTTTTAAATTCTTTTCTGTAAGTGGAGAAAGTTTTGAAAATTTAGGGTGTGAAATGAATGGATCATGGTACAACAGCGTTTACATAAAAGTAGCAATTATTCAAAGAATGGTGACAAATCTAATATGAAGAAGATAGAAAGTAATGCAAAATTCAGAATCGAAATGAGGTCTAAAGTTTGGTTTCAAAAGACATGAAGTGATTTTGAATGAATATGCTAAAACTGAAAAAACGATCAATTTTTAGCTTAAATTACCTCAGATATAATGAAATTTATGTCTTACTTTCGTCAATATCTTCCATTTTCCAACTATTAAAAAACGAAAAAATGTCAAATGTTTTCGATCCATCGCTTCGGAAGAACTTGTAATCCAAGATTCCGTCATAGTTTCCACACAAACCCACTGTCCCGTTCATCATGTATGGTTCAGCAGCAATAAATACGCTGTTCTGTAAGCAAAATGAAAACCTAATTTAATTTATTAAAATTACACTGACATCCAGTTATCATGTCACTGTCATCCAGTTATCATGTCTGTATAATCACATCACATTTATTTTCCTTACTTCAAAGGACTTAAAAATTTAAAAGAGGAATTTGCTCAAAAAATCAGACCTTCTGAGTTACAGAAGCCGACATGCAACTTCTGAAAATGTGAATTTGAAATTGCTTTAAATGGGCATTCATTATTTCAGTGCAATCGAAAGGAAGGGAATAGCATTTAACCATTTACAGTTACACAACATAATACAAATATTCATGTTTTGGCATTTTTATTTAAAAAAATCAATTTTTGCAAAAATTATGAAATATAATGTTTTGACATTCTTCAAGTCTCCACTCATATTTAGAAAAATGTTATAATCAGTATGAAAAATGCAATATAAGAAAGTGATTCCCGTACAACAAAATTTTGATTGAAACATGTAGTTTAAATTGGACATCACATTAGGGGGCCAGACGCAAATTAAAAAGAGAAGCCATTGGATACTTATTTAACTAAAAGTAAAATATTTATTTAGGAAAAGAGATTTCTAATGCTAAAAGATTAAGGAAACATTTCTTTGTATATTTTTACGAAAATTATTGATCAATATAATTTGCTTTTGAATAAAGATCTTAGACATGGAATCTTACAAAATTCTACAAAATACTGGCAGGCTTAACGCCAACGCATATTCTTATTTACATAAAATAAAAATTATAAAGATTTCTAGTTTAATTTTTGTATAGTTCTTAGATTGGATTTCAAAAATAATGAAATGCATGAGAATAATAATAATAACGTATTTCTAACGTTTCAAAATCTATAATTTATTTTTGTGACAATTCTTTCGCATAATATTTATAACAAAATTATAATTTAAAAAATTATACAATAGTAAATCACAGAAGTATATCAATGACAGGCGTATAAAGGAGAAAAATCTACTTTGAATTATTCCATCTTGTTTTTATTAACCGAACAATCATGGCTAATGGCAAACATGCCAACCAGTTTATTTTTAGAATGAATATAACATTTTGCTAAATATAAGTACAACGAGAAGGAAAACATATGGAAAGTTAGGTTTCATATTTCATGCAAAATTCATTTTTTGAAATTCAGAAATACTAAAACATGAATCTTTGTATCATTTAAAAACTTTTTAAGCGAAAGTATATGTCTGCAAGGAACGATTGCGAAAATAAAGAGCTGGTAAAGATGTTCTTGAATACGTATATTAACTCCTTATAAAATTATATTTAGCCATTTTATAGATAATGCATGCACATTCCTTAAAAATAAGATCTTTCAGATCTCCAGAATTTTTTCTGCAATCTCTTTCATTACCCAATATTTTTATCATTTAAGTAATTATTTAGTGTGAAGATACTTAAATACTTACACTAGGAAAAACTGTAGATTATAACATGGAAATTAATTAATTTTTTAATAAGTAAAAATTGAAAATGTTTTAGAGATTTTGACTAATATGCTTACACGTATTGAAAATGTACTAGCATTTCATTTTTTTAATCGAAAGTATGTAAAGCAACACTTTTTAAACTTATGTTTTATTGATTTTTTCCAATAATTATTAAAACTTAAATTTTATGTTATAATAAGGTTACCTCTTCATTTAGCCATATTGTGTAACCTAATGTTAGTCTTGCTACAATATATCTTGTAATGCGTTCAACGGTCAAATCTCCTGCTTGAGTTGGAATATCTAATGGAACTCCGTTACGTATTACACCATGTTCATAGGACAGAAAATATCTGCAAGAAAATAATATCAGTAATGAATAACGTTAAAAAATTTCGCTACTTAAATATAATAGCTATTTGAACAAAGTTAGTTAATGAATATTACAAGAGCAATCTTGCAAGAAATGTTAGTAAAAGGGAAACATTTTAAAGTAAATTTTAAAACTTTGGAAAAAAAGCAACCTTTGATTAGTGTAGATTTGGTAGTACAGAATACAGATCGTGTAAAAATAGTAAAAATCGTTTTGTTTTGTTTTCCTTTCCTTTCCTTGTGCAGTCTAACATTTCCTAATTGACAACCCGACTATACAAATAGTATCTGAATAAGTCTGGTTCTTCCAACACCGGCACCTGCGACTGCGGGAAAGGAGGTAGTCCAAAACCACTTTTACTCTGAACGTTGCTTCGGCAAAAAAACAGTTCTCATGTTTTCGACCTAGAGGAAAAGTACTGAAAAAAACGATGTTGCCCTATCGAAAATACGTGCTATCATTACATATTGCAAAGACGTAGTAAACTGGATAACTTTTTCTCTTTCAGATCTAGCTAATATTCGGCTACAGCTTCTTCAATATAAGAATTTAACAACGTTGTGTTATATAGTTAAAAAACTGTTATAATATTAATGTATTTTTTCCCGCTGACACAATTTATTGATTTATGCAAGTATTTTTATTTATCTGTCACAATTTTCTAATACATGTAAGTATTCAAATCTTGTAATATAAGAGTTCATTCCGTTAGTGTAAATACACCCATATAACACATAAAAAAGCAAAAATCATTGTAATTTATATATATCTGTAGTGTAAAACTCTTTTATCCCCGTTGACGGTTATCACTTTAACGTAACATAATTGACATCTTTATGCGCTAAATGTAGTATACATTCAATGAGCTGTCAAATACGATGTCATACGGAAATATCAAATAATTGATGTAATTCTATACATCAAGTATATAAATAGTCTATACATCAAAAATATATACATCAAGTATTTATATACTTGATGTATATATTTTACGTTATACAGGATGAGCCAAAACCCCGTCAACATTTAAAATTCAATAATTCAAGAAATAATATAGGTAGAGAGGTAAAAATTGACACACATGCTTGAAATGACATGGGGTTTTATTGAAAAAATATTGCGAAAGAAAGGCCAATATGGCGTTGGGCAGCAAAATGTCAGTAGCGCCGCATTAGAATCGTGTATGAAGTGAGCTGTAGTAAGAGAGGGAATCAATCCCTTCATGACTTTTCAATTTTCTATCCTCACCTTCAGGTGTTGGTCACGGTGTGCTTTATCATATCAATCGCGATCGGAGCTCTTTTCTCCGAGGAAATGCTTAATCTGCTATTCAAACTGTCAGTGTAACGGGTGCGAGGTACGCTGAAATGTTACAGAATCGCATCATACATTCTCTGGCTGATAAAGACCTGTTGGAAGGCATGACTATTATGCAGGATGGCTCTCCATTCCATAATTGCTACACGTGTGAAAGATCTCTTGCACACATCATTTGGTGAGGATCGTGTGATGAGCCGCTACTTCCGTCATATACTCTTTTGCAAAAAAAAATCGAAGCACCAAGAAGGACTTTTGCGATCGTGACGAATTTTGGTATGCAAAAACATCTTGATCTAACATGCAAATGATCGAAGTTTCAAGGCAAATAAGCAAGAATTGCGATCATAGCTCGCATTTCTAGTGCGCAATTCGCAAAATATAACACCAGTAACAGAGGCGGGAAAGTTAATCTGTTTTTGTTGCTGCCATTGTAATTCCGTAAAGAAGCAACTAAAGATGCCATTACGACGATATCGAAGACCTTACAGACAACTAAATGACTTTGAACGTGGTCGCATTGTAGTGTTGCGTGAAGCTGGGTGGTCATACCGAGGAATAGGCCGCCGCCTGCAGCGTACAGACACTGATGTGTAAAGATGTTGGCAGCAATGGTTGCTATAAGGACACTGCCGACAAATTGAAGGCTCTGGAAGGCCAAGGAGCACAAATGTGAGGCAAGATAGAATGACTGTTCGCAAGGTCCAAAACGCCCCAACGGTATCATTGTCGACTAGTTAACGCACTACAGACACGTCTATACCTCCCGTGGTACCTTCTGCCATCTCACGGCGCTTGTCTGAGGCCGGGTTACGCTCATAGATGCATTTAAGACGTTTTTCTTTGACCCCACAACATCGAAGGAGTCACCTGGAGTTGTGTCAAGCCGATCATCATGGCTGCCATCAGACTGGCATCGTATAGTGTTCAGCGATGAATCCCGCTTCACTCTTGAAGTAAATGACCACCGTGTTCGTGTCTGGATAGGACGGGGCCAGCGGTTCCAATCAGCCTTTGTTTTACAAAGGTCTTCTTTAGTCATCTTCGGTACATCTTTAACAGCTCAATGATATGTTAATACCATTCTGCGGCCGGTTGCATTACCCTTCACGTCACGTCATCCTGGGAGTATTTTCCAACAAGAAAATGCCAGGCCCTATACCGCTCTCATATCTCTGGACTGTATCCGAGCGGTTTATACTCTTCCTTGTCCAGCAAGTTCACCAATCGAACATGTCTGGAACATAGTAGGCCGCCAGATTCGGGCACCACAAAATATCGCAGATTTAGAGGGACAACTGATGAAATCCTGGCAGAATGTGTCACAGGATGACATTAAGAACTTCTACCACTCCTTGGCTCGACGAGTTTAAGCATGCATTGAATAAACTGTAAACTGCATTCTTCCCTTACGTGCAGCACAGTATTCCTATCATACTATACCTAGCAAGCAAAATATTTTAATAGAGTTATTTATTGACTCTATGTACGTTTTATGAAAAAGATACTAACTCGTTTAGGTGCCGCGTAGACTCTTATTTCACCATGTTGTATTTTAAGCAAATTTGTTTCAAACCTGTCTAGTATTTTTTATACGCAACAGAGTAGATATGTTTCTCTAATTATTAGTACTTCTTTAAATTAAGTATTATAATGTAACATTTATGTTATTACTTAAGTGTTCAATGTATTAAGTTTAGTAATATATACTCTATCATTTACGGAAAAAAATTGCAACGCTCTACCTAATATTGTAACTTATCTGTTGGTAAACATCGACTGAAAATTGCGAATATTCCATTGCAGTTTAAAACTGTAAGTATAAACAGAACAAAAATATACATCTGATGTGATTTTATGTGTAAATAAGACAACTGTAATTTCTATTTATATTTATTAGTAATCCTTTCAAAAAATCAATAGTGCCTAATACCGATAAACTAGCATTAAGTCTGTGCAGCTTAACAGCTTTAGGATCGTATGCCTCTTCGTCGGTGAAAGGAAATGAAAAGGATTAATTAATAGTATTTAAAACCCCATTGTTAAGACAGGATCAATCTAGTCTTAAATGATATTTTTGCTTAATTTAGCATGTTTATTTACTTATTTAATTTTTACTATTACTCTGTTTTTGCAAGGAAGAATTTTAGTTCAGTACAATTGTTTACACAACAGCTCAAATGGTTATGTTCCGGTGTACCACTTTAAAACAGTTTTATAAATTTATACCTACGCTTTCTTATAGATCGCCTTCATGATAATTATGTTAGTATTTGTGTACGATCAAAAAGCTGTTTTAAGTATTCGACAACCTAAACTGCTTTTTAAATGCAATAATGAATAAGTGAAAGTTAACAATATCTGTTCAGGTAAAAATAAATATCTTCTGATTTAAATCAACAAAATACCTCTGAAATATTTTTCAGGTATCAATCTGCATATCATATACAGAGGCCGAAAGAGATGAGACAATATAGAAAGCATACATGGTTGCTCCCTTTTACATTTATGTAAAATAAAAATTTCTTGTTAAGAATATGATATCTTAACTTAAATGTTCTTCACAGTAAAGGTATGAGAAATTTGTTACCTTAATATATCAAATGTGTTCAGTTGCTACAGCATACCAAACTTAAAACAGATTTTTACCTCATGGTTTGTAATTTAAAAAAGGTGCTACTGTTACGTGCTTGATTAAGAAGCGAAAAAGATGTAATCAATGCAAGCTATTCTTTTTGGCCCCCCGTGGTCGTCGTCTGCGTCGTTGGTGGACCGACGATCATTTTGTAAAAATTTGATTATGCATTAGACCAGTAGAATGTATCCAGAAATAAAGAGAGTCAGACATTTGAATAGATCACAAACCCCTAGTTTAGTAGTTTTTAATTTTCTTGAAGAATCTCAAAAACGAAAACATGCATTGTTTCTTTTAAAATAAATGGATGCTTTTAAAACATTAAATAAAAATTTTTCAATAAAAAAAGGCGCTAAAATAAGTAGGAGAATTAAAAATAAAATTAATTGTAGTGTTTATATACTCATTGCTTTAATAGTGCGTTAAAATAAATTTAAATGCTATAGTTTCTTGAAAACATATTTTTGAAAAATAACTGGTTCTTCTAATATGAGGTTTGTGAAGCTATATGGATTTAATATAAAACTAAACGTTGTAGTGTCATTAGGTTATTTTGAAGCAGGAGACATAACAAATGCGCAGTGCCGTCACCGGGACTCGATTCTGAACCTCTCGATTACGTGCCTAGTGTGCTACCGTTACACCACGAAGACATGCAGAACGGAGGAAGAAAATACCTCATAAAGTTAATAATGTTTCCTACAGTTTGAGCGAAACGATTGCACTTTGAAGTGATTAATGTGAAACATAAAGAATTCATTAATTAGCAGTAATGAAGATTTATTGGCATCATTTCCGGAAAATAAACTGAAGCATTTTATAAATGGAAGCACAAAGAGGTCCCTAATAATCTGTTCTGCTCTAGAACATCATCGAATAGTCAATATAATATTTCAAAATGTTAGAAAATAGATTCAAGCTGTAATCTATTAACATCTGCTACGTAAAGATAGTTTATTGTGCTTTTGAGAAAAAATTTGCAGGGTTTATTAGATTTTCCTGCAGGACAAGATATGAGTTCTTATGAAACAGCACACGGCAACTGTTTCTCATAAATAAACAGAAGACATGAAATGACCGCTCATAAACAAAGAGCAAGCCATGGAGTGGCTACTGTTTCATTTGACGTCAGCTAAAAGGGAAATAAGGGGAAATTTAAAACGAATTTACGCAAACATTAATAATTCAGCACAATGCTCTATTATAACTGATTGTATAGAAATAAATGAATCAAATATTTTATTTTACGAGTTTTTATTTAAATTTCGAAATACAGTGCGTAGAAGATTAAGTATACCTACAAAAAAGTTTTATAAATATGGTGCCAATAAGGTTATATTAGTATCTTCAAAGAAGGTGAACTATTCATAAGGTTTTAAAAATTTGTTTAAATACTGTCATAAAGCTATTTGTAAGTTTTAGAATTAAAACTAAAGATAGAAGTTTTATAGAAAAGTGCCGCTTCTCAATCTTAGTTCATTTTCATTTGTTTCTGTAAATAACCGGTAAATGTATTATTATCAGACATACCTTTCTGTGTAATTTCATTCTGTTAGTTAATTTTAAGAAACTCTGCATTTTAATTATTTTGAAATGTGATGCATCAAAACAACCTTCGGGCACCAAACCATCTTAAAGAAGACATTTCGAATTCGGTGTGCAGCATAACTTCTAACAGGTTACAATGCGGATGATCATCATGGAAGATGTTCTAAGAACATGCAAACAGTCTGGCCGAATCTTTGCTTCTAAACTCACTCATAAATCAGACGTCTGTATATGAATGGCAAGAATGCTGTACGATCATAGTAAGTTAGGTTAATTCCCTTTTAAATAGTTGACAAATTCTTTATTCTTCAACGGTTGTTGCAAAATAACAATGACCGCATTTCTAATACATAACCCACCCCCAGTCCAAGAAATAGACCGTCGTTTTATTTAATTCTGAAATTTGAATAAAATACTGAGCCGTATGACAATTTAACAATTTTCTCTTTTATGCCATTATTTATACAATGACTTTAAATCCTGGAGGAAACAGTCTAGCGCTGTTTTTGGGATTTCATAACATTTAACACTAATGTAAAAATTATCTCTAGTGATAAGAAATTAAAGGAGTTATAACGTCTATAATTTCAAATTTAAGGGGAAAAACGAAACGAAAAGTAATACGATGCCTATTTAGCTTGTTAAATAACGAATATAAATTAAATATTTTGCGTATTTTCAAGGCTCGTTACATGTAATTAAAGAAGGAAGAAAATTGGCTATCCCTACATAATTTAAATGAAATTCTCGGACCACTTCTTTGTAACAAAATCAATAAACAATATGGTTTGTTTTAATTTTAATAAATGGTTTGTTTTTCCTTTGCTTAAAGAAAAATTAATATGTATTAATTTATTTTTGTTTGTATCAAATACATATATAAAACAAAAATTTATTCCATAATTACGCAAACATTAAAATGACACATAAATTTTCTCTTCCACTGGAAATTTATTTTAACAGTCATTCCTAAAACTAAATAGAGAATATCTTCTTAAAAATTTTGAATGAGATTGTTGATAAAAGTCATTAGTGTCTTCTCAACATCGTTTCGTTTTTTATTGTTCGCGTGAAGACCTTAGATATCGTTAAGCTTAAATACCGTCATTAGTGATTGAGACTGCAAGTCATTTTTCTTAGTTAAGTTCGTTTCAAGGAAATTATGCTAAGAATTTAAAGAATATATGAATATGCTTTTACCTTTGTTATGTTGATTCTTGTAATTAAAATACCATTGATATATAAAAATGAAATGATATAAGTTACCTGTGAAAATAATTTATTTTGAAAAATAACGCGTAATTACTGAAAAAACACATGCAGTTTTCCATCAAAACCTCTGGCGAAAATTTAATATTTAAAAAACGCCTGACAGTCTCTAGATTCTTTTTTTGAGAAATAATGATGTTCGGCTATTATAATAAGTGTTTTTATTATTTGAAATGATATATTATATATTGTTAAACTTCAAACGATGGAATATATCCGATTTTTCGTGAAATTAACTAATTAGCGCATGGTAGAAAGGATTATATCAGTAAAATTAAGGAGAAAAACCTAATTTAGAAAAGATTTTAAATAAACTCTAACCATTTGATGTTTTCCTTTTGAGAAAAGAAAAATTCTCCCGCCCCCCCCGTTAAGAAGAGGGATTTATATTAATTCGCACTTGAAATTTGAGTTATATTTAAACCAGTCTGAAATTTGTTTAACCCTAATACAGATTTACCACTGTTCCATAACAACTTACTTTTATTTATTTGAATATTTTTAAATTCGACGAAGAGTCATTATTTTACTTCAGATACCTGCCACTCTTAGCTTCAGGCTCAAAAACGAAGAAATTAATTCAGGAAAATAAATGGGCTATTCTTACAACAATGAAATTTACAATTTACATTTAGAAATAGTCTAAATTTAAAAGAAAACCAGAATCCCTAGGAGTTATAAATTATTTCCAGAATTAAAGAAAGTTTTCAAACTCTTTTTTAGTTTATTTTAATGTTCTAATATAGAAATTTTTATATCACAAGAATAATACTGTTCTTTTCAATAATCAGAAATATACGGCATCGAAAACATGATATAAACGCATGTAAAACACTGCAGGTTCTAATGCTCTTACTCATGCTTGATGAACCAAATGTCAAAGATATTTACGCGATTTATATGGTTATGTATTGGCAACATTCACACGACTGCATTTTACTCATTCATTTGGTATACCAAAAAACGACATCAAAGGTCAAGAATACAGACACCGTTGTACCCAAAGCATCTCAAAGGTTTTGACAGGGAGTTATATTTTGAATTGTGTTTCCTAGATTTAATTCAAAATGTTATTTCAGAAGAAGGAAAACTTTGGTTCAAGCTAAGAAGTTATTTTAGATCTTATGTTATTGTTTATAAAATTTTCAGACCTAAATTAATGGTCTGATTAAAAATACTTTGCATAATCTGAATCAATATTTATACAGGTTGAGACAAAAAATTATTTTCTAAAAGCAGAATATAAGATAAGGATAAAAACATACAATATTCGAAATGTATTTTCACTACTTCTGGTTTTCTGTGTAAAGCATTCTCTTTCCTGACGTTTTTAATTTGCTTTATTCTCGTACAATAATACCTTATAAATAGACAAAATGTGGCATTTTTGCAATCATCTAATAGAGTCTAAATTCTTTTTAGACATACGGTGAAATATAGATAAGTCTATAATAACAAGTGAGCTTTGATAAGGTTATAAAAGACACTTTTAGTTTATACTAAGAAGAACACAAAAAACTCTTGGTGCTTATAAGCTCAGCCATCACGTATGGAAAGATAAATTTAAATAACAGTCAAAAGTAAAGTTAAATTTAAGTGATGTAGTAGCCGAACGCGGCACAGATCAATTTAAATCTTAGTTGGCTCAGCTTACCCAAGTGGAGATGCAGTTTCTGGCTATTACACAACAAGGTAGAAGACTACAAATCTTATCTTAAATATCAACCTAATAAAGTGGCCTCGAGATGTAGAACATACTCTGTCTCCTAATCTAAAAAAAATACACTTATGGGCACTAAAGAACTAACTTGAATTCTGTCGGAAAAACGGAAGAGAGAAGTGACAGCAAAAATCTAAAACGTAAAATATCTGGTTAATTAACATAAAGATGTAGAAACATTAGATTATTTCGAATGAGAAAAGCTGAAAAATGAGCATTGCCTTCGCCTGGACTCGAACCACGGACTTCTCGAATTCGCATCGAGCGTGCTGACCAGTACACCATGAAGGCATGCTACAAAGGCGGGAGAAATACCTTATAAAGGAACCTTTGCAAATATAGCAGCAAAATGCATGTTAATCGACATTTATTTTATAGGTAAACCTGCCGGATATTTTCAGATTAATAGTTGCATTTTTCAGAATCAAAAATGACACCAATGGTTTCTACAACACCTTCTAATCTCCATCATTTCTGAAAATCTTCTTCTCATAAATTAAACAATGGTTTAAAACCTTTAAAATAAGAGAGAAGCAACAGTACCTGTTCTGAAGATGCTTAATTAAAACAACACGAGTACAACGAGATCCTTCATTACAGTTTGTCTTCAAGCCGATGATAAGGTCATCGCCATAGCTGGTAGCCATCACATACCAGCAGGAAGAAGGATATGTGAAAAGACCACCGTCGAATGACCTATAATGGAAGAAGCCCCAGCTGGAACAAATTCCCTTGTAATTGGTTACTCCTAGTGAAAGAAATCATTCAAAAATAAGTATTCACTTTAGTTTAAAGTATAAAAAAGAATTTTTTTTACTTTTCCTTAGTAATTAAAAAATATGCCTAAATAAATCTAAAATACTGTTGCGTGCGTACGGGTTCGTAACAGATTGAATGCACAAGTCCGATAATAGATTAATAAAATTTATCCTTATCAAAAGTAATATAACTCTGACACAGAACTCAGACCTCTGAAATTTTTCTCAGAGATATTCGTACAAGTGTTCACAATATCACGCAGTATAATCAGTAGTTGTACTTCAAACTACTAAAAACGTTAAACACAATGCAATGCAAAGCGCATCTAAAGAGAACGCTAACTATGATATCTCAGTTCACACGGAACTAACAACTCGCAAGAACAATAACCAAGCAACTGAGAACAGCCTTAAATAGTTTTCAACCGGTCGCCAGATATTTCTTGTACCTTCTGCTTTTCGAAATTACTGGAAAGCAATGGGAGGTTGTAATTACGGTTACAGCTAACATAGTGGTTAATTAGATTTATTCAGTTTCAATACAAATTACCGAGATACCCATTTGTTCGAAGTTAAATTCACTTGCTCCTGTATTCTTACGTTTCCGGCATAGCTTTCTCTTAAAAATTTGTCTCGCGCTACTTTATACAAAAAAATACAATTCTAATTATTATTTTACTAAAATTACCTATCTAAATACAAAATTCGTAACATTATGGTAGTTATTTTGTATATTTTGTATGGACTATAAGATGTGTCCTGGATACTGGCAAACTCTGTTTATTGAAGATATAAAGAAATACATCTAATAAATTTCGAATTCCCTTCTGCAGCCCTTCTGCAGCTACAAAACGCTTTTAGCGATGTTTATGTTGTTGGTACGCCTTTACGACCTCTTGAACAAAATGTTGCTGAGGGTCCGCTTAACGGTCTCTTGCTGATTCTAGATATACGCTAATTATACAGTACTCTAAAATAAGATAGATCATTTTAAGAAAGCAGTTTCAAGGCTGCTGTAAGTTAAATTCCAACAGTCCTTTAAGCTCCTGGTGTGCAAAAATACTAGTTAACTAATCATCCATTACAATTAAATGAGTTTAAAACACACTTTTATTTGAAAAATCCATTAAATATTTAATAATGTATTTGCTGAAACTTACATAATCTTTCCACGTTCCCAAAAGAAAAAGCATTTAAAACTATCAAAAGTCGTAGCATCATGAAATATGTAGTTGCTCGTTGTTTTGAAGATTAATAATGTTATCGTGAACAAAAAATATACAGTAAAATAATAGTGTATAATTTCTTAACTGCTGCAAGATTAAAGTTTATCTTTGCAATTTTTTACGATGTGGAATTTTTGTTTTTTAACTTTTAAAAGCAGAGTATTTTATTAACCAGAGCTTTTGCTGTACGAAAAAGTTGAAGCATACAATAATTGGAAGATTAATAATATATTAAAAGTAAAATGATAAAAAGTATATTTACCTTCCATTTTTGAAAACATTTCCATATCACTTTTATCATTTGTCTCTAGTTCCTGAAATGCAACAAAATCTTATTTTACATAATAATAATATTTTAAACAAAGTTAATATAACGGTTTGCGTATCAGGGACTTGACTGTTGCATACCCGGTTCCAAGTACGAAGAGTTTTGCGACTGTGAAAAACAAAGACTCTACTAATTCGGCTGAAGTGGAGAGCTGTATGAAATCGAATACGAAACAAAGTTACGAGACGTTTTACAGTAAACTGAAATATTGCTTTCGTGTCTGGATAGCAAAAAAACATTTATGCATTCAAACATTCATGAGCAGTGCTTCAATTACGTGGAGTGTATGTATATATCTCCCACTGCATTTGCATTGTAGTATTAAATAGTGTTACAAAAGTAACAATGGAACTTATTTGATAAGAAAAGATTAATTATTATCCCTTTATTTTTTATCGAAAAATTTCGTTTCTATACGTCCAAGGATGTGGAACAGGTTAATGATTTATGGCGTCGTACTCCATAAAATTGTGGACTAATTTTGTAAAGTGAATTTTTTAATTTCCTGTTTCTATTAAACGACATGATAAATTATTTTTCAACGCTTAGTTCTTTAACAATTTGAGTTTAGAATAAAAGCTTATTTTATAATTTTTAAAAAAATGTTGTTTTGTTGCACAGTTTTGCTCGAGAGCGAGTCAGCTTGCCGACGGAAAAGATGAACAGCCGATACGATTCGAGAACTACAGAACATCGATCCATAAGGTGAAAAGGTGTAGTTGTGGAGTCCGATTCGACAGAAAGGACTGTCTTCTAAACTACCTTCTCAACAGGACAGCCCTGAACAGGCTGAACAACGTCTTAGTTGAGAAAAATGAAGAAAATAGTCGCGTATAAAAACAATTGTAATGATAGACGATTTAATATTTCTTTAGTTTCGTTTTTCCATTAACAAGCACTTACGTAATTACAGATAGAGCAACAAAATAAGCACGCCTGTTCTAGAAGAACTTTACATTTTTAAGATATTGCGATAAGAAAACAATGATAACTATCCAGCTAGATAGGGAACCAGAGAGTGTTCAAGATGAAATTCCTTTTCAGACTGATTAAGTTTGAACTTAGGATTGTCACGACTGATGAATAATAAATTTCGGTTCATGAATTTGAAATATTTTTTCTCTGAAGCATTACGCAAGCATCTGCGTCATTTGCGTTATGTAAGAAATATTTGACAGAGATTTATTTTGAAATGCAAAGTTTAGAGAGGTTTGTTATAATCAGTTCCTATTTTGGGACAGAAATATTTTAATTTCTAAGTTTTAGTTTTGAATCTGCGAAGTCTTGAGAGGTTTATTATAATCGGTTACTATTTTTAGGACAGAAATATTTTAATTTCTCAGTTTAGGTTGGAAAGTATAGATTTAAAATAGAATTTATGGACTATTGCTAATTAAAATTAAAATTTTTATTTACACATATATTACATTACATATTTATTTATTTATTGCTAAGATTATGTTAGATTTTTGGACACATTTTTCTGGAAAACACCTATCACGTTAAAAAATACTATATTAGAAGCTTTTGTTACGAACTGATAAAATTATAAATTTGGCAATTAAAGAATTTTGGATTTAAACAACCCTTAAATTCCCGTCTTTTTCTTTGGAGAATGTTCACTAAAATCGCAATATTTTGATAATTTTTAAATATCAGTTTTGCATACTATAGAACATTACTTGTAAGATCTTTCTTCGCAGTACGCCCACAAAAAAATTTAATTTCTGGTGGTTTTTGCAAAAAAATGTCACAGCAAAGCTCTCCCAGTCATTACATTATGTGATATTTAATTTACATTTTTTGATTAGTCCTTAAATGAGTCCAACGTTGAAACTTTCAAAATACGTTTTATCACGCAGACATTATGAAACGTGCGATATTCACGCTGTGCAACAATATAGAAAATGTTTTAAAGTCTACTTAAAAAAGCTTAAAGTCAAAAGAATATTTGAATTATTTAGTTGCACAGAAATTCTTTTTAAATTATCATCTTACACTATTATATCTTTATGGAAACAGCCAGTTGAAGATCACAGATAAATTCAAAGCTCTTAAGTTTAGCTTATTTGAATATCGCAATGCGCACGTCGGCTATCTGAGTAAACATATGCCTTCGTGGAGAACTTTCTAAGGGAAACTGCCTCTTTTTTTTAACAAAGACCATAGTCATCTTAAATTTATGGAAGGGAAAGTCTTAAAGTGATCTAGTCATGAAAGGGTGTGGGGGAAGAAATTTCACACAGTTTTAGAATCACTCTAGTTAGTTATTTAAATATGGCAAAATATACGAGGAATATCTTTCTAATACTAGGGATAGCCTTTGTGGAGGATCATCTAGAGGAAACTGCTGCGTATTTAGGTTGCAAATGAAGAAACCACAAAAACCAATTATGCAGCCTGTTCGTTCACCTTAGTTTATACACCGGAAGAACCATTAATATTCAGCAACCAGTCAGCTACTGGGTGGAGCCACAAATTGTGGAATGAAATTTTATGTGAAATATATTTATTTAAAATCTGAGTTTTTGTTATCCTTTAAATATGAGTAACATTTCATACGACACCTTTAGTTTTTAAGAAAATGTTTGCTTTTTTGTAAGTACTTATTTCGCAGTTAATGCCTTTTTCATTATATACATCGTACATACATTTCTCATTGAGCTTTTCAGAGGACTACGGAAGAAGTAACTGAATAAACTTCGAAGTTATTACCTTCGGAATCGATGTCTTCTGTATTTTTTACCTTTAGCTTATTTTTGTTAAAAGTACATTCTATTTGCAGTTCATTTTCTTTCAGAGTTAACAGTTTATTAAATTAGTGTGGTGTTTACGATTTATAAGCTTCTAAAATAGTAATGATCACTTTAGAACAATTCTTATCATATCTTTAACTTTTATTTCTAACACTAATAAATAATGCAACGTTCTACGTCTAACACTAAAAGGAAAATTGCATTTACCATTAATGCTTCCGAAATGTATGTTTAAGATAAAAGCAAAAGTTGAAAAGGAGTTAACAGTAACTTCAGGTTACCTGCAGGTCTTTAAATACAATATCTATAAAGATTACAGTTTAAATGGGAATAAATTCAAATTTTTGATGTCCTCAGAAATAATATATCACGATACCTTTAAAAATATTTAAAAGGATTAGCTTGTAATGTGAGCTAAATGCATATATTAAATTCTTTAAAATATCGAAAGCGAAAAATATAAATGCTTCACTGTTAAAAATAATCATATAGGATTCGACAGCATATATATTGAAAATTCCTCGAATTTATCCTAACACCAGTTTAGCAGATGTGGGAAGGTTAAATTTAAATATTATTATCCTACTTCAGAAAAATGAGATTTAACTGTTCGGTTGTAAAACATACATTTATCTAAACAGGTTTTCAGTAATTGTCTAAATGAAAAGTCTAAAGAAATTAAGTTTTATTCCAATGTTATTAAATTATGAAGCACTATTCTTGATTATGCAAATAAGTTTAACAAAAAAAGAAATGTTTCATTTTTATGCAAATAAACTTATCTATTTAGTTTTCATTTGCAATTAATGCTCCCCAAAATATGTCTAACTATGCTATAATGAAGAAGTAATATGGTAAATAACAAAATCTAGTAGCTTATAACACGAAATAAAAAATTTTGGAGACTGACATAAATTTAAAAAAAAATCATTTAAAGATATACTATAGTTAGTATTTCTGATTGCCAGTAATAACAGCTATAAAACCATATAGTGCGCCTTTATTTCTATGGAATATAAGTGAATAAGAAATTAAATAAATATATAACATAAACATATGCATTTTGTGAAATATTTCTGTTTAAGAATATTGAATAAATATAATTCCTATCTGAATCACCATTGATCTATTTATTTCCTGAATATTTCAAAATGCATTCCATTCACTTATTTTCATTTGTCTCGGATTTAAACAAATAGTAAAAACGTTCTACAAACATTGTGGTTATGAAAACTGGAAGTTACTGTGTCGTAGAATATTAAAAGGTCACTTATAAAATTCTACCATTCATTTGTTGAATGAGAGAAATAACTGTAGTTTTAAATAAACGTCTTCTAGACATGTTTTTTTGATTTACTGAAGCTGCTTTGGAAAGTAAGGTAGTTAGCGATTTGAGTCCCGATTTCATCCAAGGCATTGATGTCTTGTAACATATGGACACTATGCAACACATGGATATAGAACTAAAAGTTTTTTAAGACGTTGCTGGTAAGAAAGAAAGATGCGAGACATTCGAATTCCAGATTCCAATTCCTTGATCAAAAGTGGGATGGAGTTTAGATACGTAACCTAAGTGTAGTATGCCCATATCAGCTTATGGAACCAAATTCAAATTTTGAGTGACTGAATAGAGCAAATTATATGACACCTTTCCTTGGGGTTAACGCTTAAATAGTATGTTTCCTTAAAATAGGCACTTGAATTCCGTTGCGTCACCTTTCCTTCTATGAACTCATACCACCTAACTCATACCACCATCTTCAGAGCTTAATTTCTAAAATTAGAACTCACGGAGCCGTATAGAAGCGCGTCAGGAAAGAGGAATAAAAGTAATAAATAAAATAGCTGATAAAATAATTAATAATTCTAATTTAAGCTATGTAAAATACAAAGTATAAATAAACATTTAATAAATTATTAAATTAGTGATAAATAGTTAAATAATAAAATAAAATAACGGGCTCAATATTTGAGCCTACAGCTGGAATTATAATTTCACTCACAGAGAAGAGAATAACACTTCTTACTGCGATCCAGTGGGGATATAATGTCTAGCTCTCAAATAAAAAATGAAAGGAAAGTTTTCTCTCGAATCCTAAGGGTTCATCTGTAGGCTAAGAATAACTATAGGGTTTTCAACAAGTAAAGATTTTCTTTCCATGTATTCGGTTGCATCGTTCCAAAATGTCTGCAAATCATCTTTTTGGTGAGAAGTCACTAGTGCTGCAAGTGGAAGACGGCGGTGATCACTTCTAGTATTTTCGGGAACAAAAAAAGTACCCGCTGCTATAACGTAATCCTTCTTCCTGGGTTATGAGGATCATGGGGGTGGAAGAAGGCTTTTCTTTCCTTAAAAGTCTCATCCTTTGTCAAAAGGTTTCAGACGGCTGTTAAACAAGCATGCATTCAGAAATTAGAATCTGTTTTTAAGGCTTACATATTACTAAGTAGACTTTTAGAGATCAAAGTAATTTACTACTGAAATTATAGCTCTGTTGCATAAAAAAAAATGCCTGAGTACTTTTCTTTAGGGTTTCAGTGCGCTCGACTAGAATTACGATTTATCTTAGAAACTGAGAAATACCTGAGCCGGACTCCAACGCAATTTATGTTCTGGTCATCCCTACGCAGACTTACATTCCTCAACCTAATATGAAACTATAGTTAAGTCAGCCTTCTTCATGCGCTATTCACGATAAACAGAAATGGTGTGGAGGAAATAAATGAGGCCATTTGGACTAAGTATTGCAGTAGTCTTTCTCACCATTACAAGACTAATCAGGTGAAGGAAGATAAACTTTGAAATTCCTATTTTAACGTGACATACTATGAAGGCCTTAGTGAAAATTTCCTAAGGGAAATTGTTTTTTCGATACGTGCTGCGCCATGAGGGACTGCACGAAAATGAGGGATGCCCCGTAGATAAATAATCTTTAAGGGAAACTGGCTCGTATCCACGTTACACAGGGCATCAATTTGAAAATGCCTATGCTTCGCTGAGACTCGAACTCTAGACCTACATCAGTCCTCCAGACCAGTGTTCAACATCTTTATCGCTCGGCCACAGTTGGGTTTTTTAAGAGAAACTAACTCGTATTTATGACGCGTATAGAAAAAAGCGCAATGAAACACTCACACACTTGACACATTCGTTAAAACCAGATGAATATTTTTAATGCAAGGTATTATCACTAGATCATTAGGCGAGATATTTGTAGAGACGAACTATGAAGTTTACATGCAATAGATTTGAGTAATGCTTAAGTACAACCAAATCATTACGAAGAGGCATACGGAAATTACATTGTTTTTTCAGGTACATCTGAAATCGTAGAGATTTTTCGGGGGTACAGCTTTGCTAATGTTTAGTGTTCATAAAATATTACCCATGTTTTCAACAGGATGAGATCTAACTGGATTTCAACAGGATGAGTGCAGGGTAATACAATCGAATAGTATTTAATTTTAAAGCTATTTAATCACTCAGCAGGATTGAATTTGGCAAGCACTGACGTAAATTAGGAGAAATTAGGGCACAAACGTTCTCTGAAAATATTATTTTGGTATGCACGTCTTTAGGACCCCATTTATACATCTCTGCATAACTAAAGAACCTTAGCTTTAAATATGCAAACCAGTATACTTTATCTGGGTTTCTTTCTTGAGAGCTATAAAAGGTCATGAGAAATGAACCCTTAGTGGATGTTCGATGAAATATTATTATTACTTTTTAAAATTTTTTTTCACTCATAAAATTTACTGAGGATGTAGCCTATCCAAGTGAGAAATGCATTCAAAGTTATTAGTCATGATATCTTTAAGAACACACACATGAGTACCTAGGGCTGGTGTAAATACTGGAAGAAGGAAGGCAAGGTACAGCATCTCTAATGAGAATACAGAAATGCTAGAAAAAATATGAGTGTATAGAATTACGTTTTGACGGAGATGTGTTAACATCTAAAACTTTCTGATCACGATCCACAGCCGACAAAATTCAAGCAATAAATATAAGGGAAGTTTTATTTCGATTGTTGATGGTTGATCTGTAAGCTGAGAGTACACACAAGTTTCTGTGCAAGTAAATATTCTCGTCCCCTGCTATTTGGTTGCGTAGTTTAGAAACATCTGCAAGTTATCTAAGTTGCTAGTATAGAGACTTGTAGCTCTATAACTTGTTTATCGCAATTCTACGCAGAAGAAAAGCTATCTTAAGCAAGCTTTGCCAGAAGAGAAAGAAAAGAAGACAGATAGATCACCTGCATGTAGGTTATTTTCTTGTTTCTATAAACAATCAGTAATTATGCTTAGTTTTCTACCTCAGTTGCTATGATATGAGATGTGAGTTTCTTTGCAGTTTGATTTGACTTTATTTGATGAATAAAGACATAAATGATCTTTTGGGTTGCAACCCTTAGACAATAGTGATCTTTCAGGCATTTAAGATTTCTAGTGCAAAGAATTTGTCTCTGTATCCTTGAAATGATACGTTACTGACTCCTAGTCTTCTGAACAGCGTCTTTTCTCTCTTCGTTTCTGTAGGTAAATGATGTCAGAACTGGAAAAAGCCTAACCTTGAGTGTCTACTGATATTGATTATGCCTTTGAGATATATCTATCAGTATCTAGACATAGATTTACTTAAAGCAATATTAGAGCCGTATTATTTTTCTTCATTCATTATTTATTTGTTTTAGTAAGCAGTAAATGAACTAAACAATTGTAAAATAAACGGAATAATGAAAAATTTCCTATCAGCTTATTATACCACATAGGATTTTAAAAATATATGTTTAAAATATATGTTTGAATATACGTAACATGAAATGTGTTGTATTTAACATTTTACATAATTTATGCCACATAAATTTTAGTTAATAATGAACGTCGGTCAACACCAGTTAACCGTTGGTAATTATGAACTCCCCCGTCAATCGTCAATCGAATTAACTTTATGTTTACGGATCGTAAAGTATATCCTTATTGCGCCTCATTCGCGCTGTCTTATTTACATTTTCTTGATTATTGATATATGCGAATGTACATGTGCGCACCATAACTCAAAGCGTGAGAAAAAAGTAAAAAAGAAAAAGACTAATTTCGTTGCATAAAGTTATAACGTGCTCACGCCTGGTAGTATGTGAACAACGAAGCACCGAAAAGATACTTCATAACAGGCTTGAACCTGACAAAAGAATAGAGATTATAGATTTCTATTTGTAACACCATAGAAAGGTATGGTGATGGCTATAAATCAGATCAATGAACGAATTTAATATTATTTTTCAGACTTGGTGAATCCATGACAGGTTACGTTAGATTAGGTTAGGTTATTTAATTACGGCAAAGCCTCGAGGGCTATCTGCCTAAGGGGAGGGATGCCTTTCGTGGAGGACTTTCTAAGGGACTGGCTCGTATACACGTTACACATGGGGAAAACCACGAAAACACCCATGCAGCCAGCCCGTTCGCCGGATTTGAACCTCGGACCGAACTACCAGTGTTCAGCGACTTTACCGATCGACCCGATGTGGGCAAATCCATGACAGAAAGTCATGACATGTTAAGGCATGTTTTTGGGTACGAGGTCATACATTTAAAGTGCATTTATGAATGGTTTAAATATTTTCAGGATAGTAGAAATTACAGTGAAAACGATGCTTGTAGTGGCAAGTCTTCAACTTCTCTTAGTGATGAAAACATTGAGAAACTGAAGAAGATGTTGGCCAGAAAGAGGATCAACAAAAGAATCATGTACAAGGATATTAAGAAACATTCCTGAAGTGGTTCCGTTGTGTAGGTCTGGAATACTCCCAGACGGCATCTTAAGTCCCCCGTCAAGATAATACCAGCAACTCTTGGTCGTGAAACGGCTTATGACCTATAGAAGCGTCGCAGCCCTCGATCATTCTCTGTATTCACCATGTTCAATATGTTGCTCTAGCAAACTTCTTTCTGTGTCTGTACCTGGAAGAGCCCTTGAATAATATTTAAAAATTCGAGACAATCAAAGCCATGCGACGAGAATTCGCCTTGTGATACAGAAACAGGTCTTAGTTCTCACGACTTGTACAACTTAAGAGTCATCAAGGTTTGTCGAATAATATGTTTTGTTTTCACCGGGATTCGAATTTCGGATCTTCTGATTGTTAGTCGAACGTGCTTTCAATTTCATCACAAAAGCACGTTATAAAAAGAAAGAAAATATCTTGCACAAGTGTTATCAAAAGTTCACTGCGAATGACGGACATTTTCTCGAAGGGATGTAAAATGTTTTTCCTGATTCAAGTCACGAACTTATGAACACGCTCATCGAACTTTAATGTGAGGTCTTCAGCCCAATTTTTCAGTTATCTACTTTCAGTCAACTTTTAGCACTTTTCAGTTAGATACAATAAGCTGATCATTTTATTTATTAATGATCTTAGACACATTTTCTAAAATTAGGATTGGATTATTCAATTACGGCAAAACACACGAGGGCTCTCTGCCTAAAGGAAGGGATGCCTTCGTGGAGGACTTTATAAGGGAACCTGGCTCGTGTTCACGTTACACATGGGGAAAACCACGAAAACGCACATGCAGCCAGTCCGTTCGCGGGATTCGAACCTCGGACCGAACTAACAGTGTTCAGCGTCTTTACCTCTCGGCCGCTGGTGGCTTCTCTAAAATTAGAAACGTATAGGTATAGTCATGCTTCAAAACAGCACAATTTTACAGAAAATAAATTGTAATGAATTTATAAGCACAATGTATCGTGATCAACAACAATTTATTTCATTTTTTAACAAAATATTAGAAAAATATTTGGCGATAATAATTTCTGTAAAATAAAATTAATATGTATTGCAATAAATCAAATTTAGTTCGGTGCATCTGTAACGAAACCTATTCGAAAGAGAGTGGTTGCTCGAAGATTTGAGGAATTTTCTCAGGTATATTTTGACATAATTAAATAATGAATCGGTGAGTATAGTATTCAGCTGCATAAATATAACAAGTATTATTTTAATATTAATACTAAATTTTAAAAAATGTATAATAAAACTTTAAAAATCTTACGTGTTGGTTGATTATCTCCTGGGCATCTTCATTACCAAGGCGAAACTTTTCATCTAGGTCCCCATTCTCAACCTTGTTAAGATCTACATCCATTTCTTCCAGTCCTTGCTCCTGTCTGGTTCGAGGACGCTGTTGCAAACGTTCGTTTTCTGAATGTATTTCCTGTTGCTGTCCATTGTCATCAAAGTCGTAGGCAACTCTGTTTTGACCAATATTTCTTTCTGGTATTTTCACTGGTCTTTGACCACCGTAATCGAAGTTGAAGTCATCGTCTTCAATTTGTTGCTGACCACCAAAATCATCATAATCCATTTGCTCTTGACCACCAAAATACCCTCTATATGAGAATGACGAGAAATTCTTATTAAATATATAATCAAATCTATAAAAGATGTCTGATTCTCCAGGTATTTAAAGAAAAGGAGAAGAAGTATTTATCAAATCTTGTACAAGATGTATTTTTATGTATGGCTTAACTTAAAATACATCTGTTTGGTCAGAAAATTTAAACGATATTATTAGCGTTGAAAGTGTTTTATTTGCAAATTCTATTAAATAACATATTTCATCGCGGATTCCTCCCTTTTTCTTGAGTAATTTTATCGTCCGAAAATCAAGAGGTGAAAATTATGCAAATACTTTAAATTCCGAAGTTCCTGGTTAGACTTCAAAAAAAGAAAAGTACTCATGGAAAGACTACAAGAAACTATCACAATGTTATTCTTTTAATAAAAATCCACATTCCAATAAGAATACATAGTAATAGTAACATTACATTATCTAATAAGATATCTTGATTTCTACTTCCATGTAATTTGAATTTCGCACATTCTTACAGTTGTCTCTGCTACTTCTTAGACTCCATACCTTCCATAAATAGTTAGAGAAGGTGAATGTGCAACTGACACGGCAAAATGGGAGACTGAATGCCAGTTCGTGTTTGTTTCGCTGTGATGGTTCGGTTCTTGTATTAAGCTAGCATAAAGTTCACAGTTAGAAGGGAAAGGTTCGGAGTGACTTTTAAATGTAGTTTGCGAAAGATTGTCTTTGTTAGTTAAAAAAAGACAATCACTGCGTTGACGAATCTATTTTAAAATTTAGAGGAGATCGTTCTCTGAAAGCTGTAAAGATTGTCAAAATTACGGGAATATTTAAACAAAATTAAGAACCTGGCACTAATAAATTATGAGAATATGTACTCCAGGAAATAGGGTATATACATTTTACTTTCGAAACTTATATTGAAAAACAATTCTGCATATTGGCGAACTGATATATACCTTTCTTCTCTCACCTTTCTATCCTAACTTATTAGGAAGAATTTAATTTTTTAATGTTACTAATTTTGAAATATTATCATAGCTACTTTGAAAAAGACCATTAACATGGCAAAGGCTCCACACTCACTGCACTTCACTTGACCTACTGGGAACTTGTTTTTCCCAGTCGTACACACCGTCGTGCGCTGCATACGACATGCAATAGCTAAGTAGTCCTGAATACGCATATCATCATCATGCTTTTCAACAATCTCTTTTTTCCCCCTATAGTGATTCCTCGACATTCATATTCATATTCATACTACATATTCGGGGATCGACTCCTTGATCATCTTTAAAATTCACGCGATCAGTAACGATACCGCTGGGAAATCCCAGTTAAGATAAATAAAGGAAGACCGAATATCTACATTTGCTATAAGAGATATCAAATAAAAGTAATAAGCGGTTTTCCTTGAAGATATGGATATGTACAGAACAAATTTAATCTCAGCCACAACATAGGAATATAATAAGAAAAAAACTATTATTAAAGAACATCTCACCGTACCCATGATCTACTCGATTGCGGGCATTTTGTGAAGATAAACCACTTTCAAAATTATTCTCCCCGTGGTGACTATCATATCGTGATGACATTCTTGTAGTCTGTGACGGATCTAAAAAAAATTAACATATTGGACAAATGTATTTATAATATGTTATATTTATATTAAAAATCATGCGAAATTAAACAGAATAAGTACACGAATTTTATCGTGCTAAGTGTGCAAGATTGCGTCTGTTGTTGGCATGAGCCTTGAGCACCCTATAGGTGACAGTACGACTTTTGCTCAGTTCCGCCCGAATTCTAAATTACAGCGCCCAGAGAATCGGTCCCACGGTCTCTCACGTCTCTTTACCTACCACCAACGTACTCGAAAGGATATTTGACTCGCCTTACATTTTGAGTGCCTCCATGCCGGACAAACACTATACATTAGGTAACATCCATACTTTCTCCGGGATTCGAATTCGGGCCCAGCGACATTCAGCCTTACTAAACAGTATCGTCTAGGCGGCCAACAAGTACTTAAACCGGGCATGACAATTTTGTGGCTCTTAAATATCCTCTACGACTCTCGGTTCATAACGAGAAAGCAGCAAAAATATGCAATGATATCATGTTAATAAAAAAAGGAATTTTACCGAATATCGAGGTAGTATATAACTTTGGCATTCTAAAAACGATTCTTGAATTGGTCCCTTTGCGAACATATTTTGTTCCCGTCAAAGAACTGATCGGAAATCGATACTCACTTCGCAATCGTGCATTATATTAAAAGTTCATCATCATAATTCACTTATTTATAAAATTACAATGATATTTTTACGCTCAGCATTTAACGTGCCTTCCAGCTCATTAGTGAGTCTTCGAGCAACATCAGTGCACTCCTACCACATCCAAGTCCAAAATATCTGGGCAGCCCACTACAGTATTCGTAATGAATCCACGATCCACATATATCGAGTGCTATTCAGGTAGTTCGGTTCATGGCAGCGAATACTGTTAGTGTGGTTCAGTTACTTAGTTGGTAGGTAAACGAGGTTCTAAACAGTTTTCATTTACGTATTACGTCTCCGTCGAGATTCAGGTGGTAAAAAATGAAAAATAGCGTATTTCAAGAGAAAAGGGAACTGCAGTATCCTCTTGTTTAAGTGAAACGTAAAACTGTAGGCTTAGTGTGCAAATCAACCATAAATGTACTTAAGTTAAATAAAAAGAAACGCTACTAACAGCAACTACAAAAATGAATATGGTCAATGTAAGGGATTAATGAGGAAAGATTAATTCAATGAACTGAAGGCAGAGCGGAAACGGTAATACAGTGTCCGTATTAATTTAGATGAGGAGAGAGTCACCGGGATCCACTCAAGCTATACTCAAGGTATATTTTTGTTGAAGATGACAGCACTCAGAATCTTTCGTAGATTATGGTTTTATAGAAAACCGCTGAAATAGTTTATTTTGGATGTGTAACTATTTCACATACCGGATAAGGTCCCGCAATGCGATCGCTGAAAAAGTCACTGAATTGGCGTCTGTTGTTTGACATTCAATGAAACCAAAAACTTGTTATTTTATTTCATAATCTATTGCATGCGATGGCAGTATAGATATCAATGGCGTATCTCAATTAACTGTATTTCTTCGAGCTTGTGATGCAGAATTCCATGTACTTGAGGACCTACGAATCATTATACCGTTACATGAATCTGCGACTGAACAGGATACATTCAGAGCTATGTGCGAACGTTTGGAAAACTATGATTTGATTTTATCTGGTTGCTCTATGTTGCCGGCATGATACTGGTTCCGTCACGTCCAGTGACTGAATATTGGTTGTGTACCAATAGATTTTATTTAGTAATCAACATACAAAATGTTCTGAAACTAAAAACTAGTAATAATAAACTTCACTGCGAAGTTCCAAAGAAGTTCAAAGGAGCTTTTTTTCTACAAAACGCATACTGAGAATATGCAGTATTCGAATACGGAATTCAAAGAAAGTCTCTATCATATCTACCGATCTCCCTGTTTTCTTCACCTATTAAGATTGATGTCAAGAATGTGCCATCCCATTTACAAATGGAATTAACAGAAATTCTGTACGATTCAAATCTAAAGCAATAATTAAATGAAGTGAGAATTCTTAAACAAAACAAATACTTCCTTGCTTTGTTCTCCGAAAGTCGCAGATCTGCAAAAAATGTTTCCATGTTCGATAGTATATCTCAGTGTGAACACTCTTTCTTAATTATGAAAAGGAACAAGTTCCCAGCTAGATCCAGGTTAATAAATATTGATCTGACTTCGGCTCTGAAAATCAGTAATATAAGTTCAGTAATCAGTGTTTTCATGCATCCGAAAGCTGATTTAGGGAAAACGACGTGAGGTATCGGGAAAGAAAGGATAGGTATTATTCATCTACTACTCAGATTTCCTTACGCTTCTTTTAGTTTTTAAAGCTCTACTATCTTGGGTATTTTTTTAAATATTTACTCACTTTTTAAATGCATAATTAGGTATGCTAATGTTCTTTGTTTCTTGTAGCCCATCTTATTGGTTACAGCCGAAAACATCGCGGCAAAAACATCGCAGATGAAAACATCGCGGAGAAAACAAAGCAAGGCAAAAACGTCGTGTTACAAAACATCGTGGGAGAAAACATCGAGAAGAGAAAACATCGCAGTTCTAAAATATCGTGGTACAAAACATCGTCGTCGAAAAATAAAGCGTTTGAAAAACTTCGCAGTTTAAAAACATCGTCGTCGAAAATATCGTGGTAAAAATTAAAGTATCTACAAATCATCGCATGACGATAACATCGCAGACATGGTTCTTTCAGGCTTTAATAACTGTAAATGGATATTCCCATATTGATTTGTGATCGCGAGATGGAAAGAAGGTTTCGCCTTGCGTTGTTTTCTCCGCGACGTCTTTGTCCGCGATGTTTTTGACGCGATGCTATCGGCGGATACCATCTTATTGTGCACTGATGTCTATTTGGCCAGCTTAAGGTACTGAGTTTGACTTACATTTAAGTATTTGTTTATTGCATAATAAGTACAGGTAGAAATAGAAAGTACCGGTACGTCGCTAACTAGCCACCAGGTAATGCTTCTTCCAACTAGCCATCTAAAGTACGGCTGCTGAAAGCATCCGCACTGGACTCCCATTCAAGAAGATGTTAAATTATTTACCTGCACATTTTGCTTTGGTATCAATATTGTATAATACATTAATCGGGTTCATTTATTCTTAACTGTACAGGGATATAAAACACTTCGTCCGAAAATAATGTAGTCTTACATACAGTCTTAATTATAGTCTTAAATACTGCTGTATTACATATAATTTTCAATAAATAATGCAGTACTAATGCAATTCATTACAGTAATACAAAGATGTTATTAATAATAGCAGTTTAATGTTCTTTTACATTACTTGACGCAAATCCACGCCTTAATTGTATAAACGCTTGCATATTCAGCTTGAAAACACACTCAAAATTGACAAAGTCCTGTGACTAAATTTACGATTGCATAATAGCTTGCATTTTCAACTTCCATGCGTAACTTTAGTCCATAGACCTTTGACAATTTTTTAGAATGTACTTTCACGTGCTTTTGTGTGTGGTACCGAGAACTGCCTAACGTGTTCCACTTTATGTCATTATGACAGCGCCTAAAATATGTATTCTTCTGATGCTTTGCCAAGATACAAATAACTTTCAAAATGACATAACATAGATAATTTAGGCAACATAAAAAGTAGTATAAGCAATAATTCTGAAAAATCAATTTATGTACGTTACTGAATATGATGTAACATTAATTACAATCTTTAATTAAATATACTTTCATGACGAGATAATATTCGAAACATTAGTTCTGGTGTTATAAATGAAGTTGCGTTAAATAGATTAATCTCCAAATTTAGATTTAATTCTCAAATTAATGAATAATACTGAATTCGAATTAAAGTAATATATTATTGGAGATAAATTATTGATCGCGACATCCTATTAATAAGCCTCAATTTAGTAATGAGGCATGTTTGCTAATGAGATAAAGTATAATTTATGAATGTAATTCTCCTTGAATTAGTCGACGTATTTGATTACAGGCAATTCTAATGAAACCTTTTTCATATGAAGTCGATTCGTTTTGCAATCTAATTGCAGTTAATTAAATCAGATTTAAGTATGAATATACCATTTAGTGACACGTTTAAGAAGTACACTTGGTTACTGTTAAAAAAAGATTGAAATTTTTTCATTACATAACAAGCTTAAAATAAAAATTAATTCCGTAATTCTATAAGGAGTTTTATTTTTTCTTGCCGCAAGCTTTCGAGATGTAATTAAAAGGCATATGAGGCTAAGCAGGAGATCAGAATTTAGAACCCCGGCGAAGGCCTCGTGTATTTTTCGTGTCCCCTACTTTAAAATAAGCCTAATGATATAAAACAAACAACTAATAGCTCTGTCATTCCAATGACTAAACCATCAAAACCAGTAACAACCATTTTTTTTACTGCAGAAAATGAGTGGCGTATTGGAAAATCATAAATGGCGTTGCAACGATACACGTATGATGAGAAAGGCCACGTATGACGAGTATTATTGCGTACGTCGACTAAATTGACACGTATGACGAAGAAAAATATTTGCAAAACCTTTGCAACGTTCCTCAGCGTTCCTCATCAGGTATGATGAAGATATCAGGTGGCCACTGCGAATATTATGGACAGATGAAGCGCATTTCTCCTTAACTGGGAATGTAACTCCAAGAACTGTGTTCACTGGCATGATGTTTCACCAGTGCCTTTACACGAAGCTAAAGTGACTGTGCGGTGGGACATCGCAAGAATGTTTGTTCTCAGCCCGCATTTCTTCGAAGAGTTCTCTTACAGAGGTAGGAAAGCATGCTTTATCTAATATGCTCGGCATACAACAATGTTGCAGAATTAGGTAAATCCAGAATTGCAACAGAGAAATGTCGTTCATGGCATTGTAAGGATACAAGATTTGCTCCTACATACATCGCTACACATGTTCGGTAATTGTTGCAACAGAACTTAGAAGATAGAATAATCTCTACTAAGTTTGCAGCT